GGATTTCCTGATGTTACAAGCGGTATAAAGGTTTACTCCCCTGTGTAACTTTGATGGTCTGCCATTGGCAGCTCTTTGCGTGGACTCACTGCCTGCTTGCCTAAGGACCCTTTGATGGAGGCCGACGCTATTCGTGAGTCGGCAGGGACTATGGGTATGAAACGACGTCATTCCTCTGTTGCTGCTGAGAGGGAGGCCAAAATAAAGTACTATAAAAACCACCTATGTAGTCAGTTGGTCCTCTGCCTTTCTGCGCCAACGTCCATCCTCAGACACTGTGGGCCCTGTGCGCTCGCGTTCCGCTGCCATGGCAGCAGGGGAGGGGTGGGGTGGTAGGAGCAGTGGCAGCTCCACCAGCAGCGGCTGCCTCAGTCTGCAGTCGATGATGAGTATCTTTCTTCACCAGCGCAGTGAGGAAACTACTAACCAGCCGCAGCAGCAGCAGCAGCAGCAGCAGCATCAGGTGGACCTGGAGCAGGACCTCAAACAACAGGCTTGGGCCTACTTGGACAGCACCCTGCCAACCGAGGTAGACAATCCCCTTGACTACTGGGCAACGAAACTTGACCTTTGGCCCCAACTAGCTGAATTTGCCCTTGAAAGGCTGTCATGCCCGGCCAGTAGCGTGGCATCGGAGCGCGTGTTTAGTGCGGCAGGAGTTATTGTAACTCCGCGGAGGACACGACTGTCCACCCAAAGTGTGGAGAGACTCACGTTTGTGAAAATGAATCAGGCGTGGATTAGTCTGGATTTCAAACCACCAGTTCCTGACACAACTGACTAAATCCGCCATGAATCATGCCCCAAACATGTTATTATTTTTAACATAGGCCTCTGTATGGCCTTCAATTTAAGCTGCTTACGCTTCGCCACTCTGCCATGGGCCCCTGTACCGCCTCCTCTTGCTGCTGCCAGGTCCAGAGTGTGTCATGGGTCCCTGTACAGCCTCCCATTGCTGCTGACTTCATCGCCAGACTCTGCCATGTGCCACTTTCAGGTCTCCTTACACTGTTGGTGGGTTCCATTTTGTGATAGGGTGCTGTATGGCCTTCCATTGCTGCTGCCTCCACCGCCACCCTGCGCCATGTGCCTCTGTCATCTGCTCACGCTGCTGACGGCTTCTGCTTTTTAACCGAGGCCTGTGTTTGGCTTCCGAATACTGCTGCATCCACCGCCCACCCTGTGCCATGTGTCTCTGTCGTCTGCTCACGCTGCTGACGGCTTCCGCTTTTTAACCTAGGCCTGTGTATGGCTTCAGAATAATGCTGCCTACACCGCCACCCTGCGCCATGTGCCTCTGTCGTCTGCTCACGCTGCTGCCAGGTTCATACTGATTCATGGCCCCCTGTACCGGCTCCTCATGAACGTGGTTCAGCGGGTTTGCATCACTTAACGGCAAATCGTTGACAAACGCTGGGACGTTCAGTGTTGTGCGCATTAAGCCAGACACCAAAGGGCAGCACAGACCTGTAATTACTCGCTCAAGCATGGCTGAACAAAACCAGTCTCTACCACAAATTGGACCCAGACCTGCCCAGGGTCTCGTAAGTAGATTGCACGGAGGAGTAGAGTTCGTTATTGGAATTAACTGTGAGGGACTTTTAAACCTAGGCCTGTGTATGGCCTTCAATTGAAGCTGCTTCTGCTCCGCCACTCTGCCATTGGACTCTTGATAGTCGTCTCCCCACTGCTGCTGCTGGGGGGACTTTTTAACATAGGCCTCTGTATGGGCCCCTGTACCGCCTCCTCATGCTGCTGCCAGGCCCGTAATCTGCCATGGGCCCCCGTACCGACTCCTCATGCTGCTGCCAGGCCCGTAATCTGTCATGGGCCCCTGTACTGCCTCCTCATGCTGCTGCCAGGTCCAGAGTGTGTCATGGGTCCCTGTACGGCCTCCCATTGCTGCTGTCTCCATCGCCACACTCTGCCATGTGCCACTTTCAGGTCTCCTCACACTGCTGGTGGGTTCAATTTTGTCATAGGGTGCTGTATGGCCTCCCATTGCTGCTGCCAGGCCCGTAATCTGCCATGGGCCCCCGTACCGACTACTCATGCTGCTGCCAGGCCCGTAATCTGTCATGGGCCCCTGTACCGCCTCCTCATGCTGCTGCCAGGTCCAGAGTGTGTCATGGGTCCCTGTACGGCCTCCCATTGCTGCTGTCTCCATCGTCACACTCTGCCATGTGCCACTTTCAGGTCTCCTCACACTGCTGGTGGGTTCCATTTTGTCATAGGGTGCTGTATGGCCTCCCATTGCTGCTGCCAGGGCCCGTAATCTGCCATGGGCCCCCGTACCGACTCCTCATGCTGCTGCCAGGCCCGTAATCTGTCATGGGCCCCTGTACCGCCTCCTCATGCTGCTGCCAGGTCCAGAGTGTGTCATGGGTCCCTGTACGGCCTCCCATTGCTGCTGTCTCCATCGCCACACTCTGCCATGTGCCACTTTCAGGTCTCCTCACACTGCTGGTGGGTTCCATTTTGTCATAGGGTGCTGTATGGCCTCCCATTGCTGCTGCCAGGCCCGTAATCTGCCATGGGCCCCCGTACCAACTCCTCATGCTGCTGCCAGGCCCGTAATCTGTCATGGGCCCCTGTACCGCCTCCTCATGCTGCTGCCAGGTCCAGAG